TTTTGAGTTGTTTTTCATTTTGTGATTTTTAACACCTAAAGTGACATCAGTTGACATTATAAGAAAATTTAAAAATATCGAAAGTTGTACATCAATAACATAAATGTATTGGAATGTTAAAATACATTAGAATGTAAATGAATTTTGATATATGTACGAGAATATGTTGCTGGAGGTAGATGAAAAGTGAGTTTATGAGTTTAAGAAGAAATAACGACCACAAACAACTGTAATAACAAGTCTATTGCTTATTATCAAAGCTTTACTGTATTTATACAAACTAAACTATAACATTTTTGCACTATCATTAAAATCACATTATTCTTTTGGCCTCTTCAAACTGACAATAAGTTTAATCAATCACTTGTCTCTGCACAGAGTCTATTAGATTTACGTTATATGAACTGACGGTACAATCATTCCGTCCCTGATAATAATCAAACAATCTACTTCACAGCCAGTGATTTACATAGTATATGGTTTGTTCGCAATTATAGAGATCGATTGATAACAAAATATTATTTATAAGAAGATGGTAGTGATTTGAGATTTTTATTAAGAATCTCGATGTTCATAACAGACCTGAGAGTCAAGATTTAATTTTAAATGAAGTCGTCATGAAGTACAACTTAACAGTTAATTTCTTTATTAACTTGCTGAAGGCTTTGATTTCTGAAAACAGAAACGAGCCGGGAATGTAGGAAATTCTGTATGGATAATAACATTATCTTCTATTTGAAGTACTGGAAATGTAGTCGGTTGAAAACGGATACTTATTTCACGGGAAATTAACTCCTAGAACACTGTATAAGGTTCATTTTTATATATCACTTCATATGTAATTAAATTTTCTATAAATTCCCAAACCGTATGAAGAAGCAGTTTTGTTCATAGTAAATGAACATTTCAATCTTTATTTTCTATCGAATTATAAATCAAGTAATATATAATCAATTATATATTATTTTAGGAAATTGATTCTCTGTTTAAAAAGTTAAAATCTGGATTAACATTTTATTTAGATTTAAACCCCTCCGTACACCGCTCTTGTTTTCGAGAAAATTGGAGAAAGTCATTTCCTTATGTATAATAAGTAAAGACAACTGTAAGAAATTCTTTTTCACGTATTAATATCACTACATCCTCCAACTACACAACAACTTTTCCAAACCATTTAATCGTTAAGTTAATAATGTTGTTTAAGGGATGGATTCATTATACATTAGGCGATATTCCGTATTCAGTCATGCAGCGTTATTCCGTATTCCTTATTTAATAATCCTCAGTAACTAATTGTGAATACATACTTATTACCTACTGCCTATCGATCACGGTGAACACTGTTTACGAACTCAAACTACATCTACTTTACAGTCTACATATCAAATGTTTTTCTAAGATTACTGTTTGAAGAGATCACTTAAAAGTAAGTACTATAAATACAATACACATATTTTAAAACAAGTAATCATTTATTTCGGTTTAGTTTCCGATAGACCTTAGTAATAATTATCTTAATATAACAAACATGTTCATCTCATCATTCCTCACTACTGACTGTTAGTTAATCATATACAGAACTCTTACACGTATTTATTACAATGTATACATTTTGATAAAAATGTTTGTTGTTTAGAAGTACTGTTTATTTTCTTAGACAGCAAGCTTCTCCAGTAGAAGCACCAAATTCACTCAAGTTCCAAATTTTTAGCCTCTTAACTTAAGGATAATTTTTGATTCCATATTTGAAGCTGAACAAAATCACTCAATAAATATAATAACTAAATAAATCAAACCACATTTCACGACACATATAACTGAAATTCCATCAACGGTCCCCGGTTCATTCCCGTGCACGCTACACTCACTGTATCCACAGTCACACTTCAAGTCCTAACTTGTTCCGTGTTTGTTCAGAGCCTGTCTGTTCACGTCTCTTCTCTCCACCGTCTGTATGTTAACTGTCGCGTCCCTCGTGGCTCCTCTCACTGCTCCTCGCTGCGCACTCACGGACACAGACGGCGCAGATAACTTTACATTCTGTTAACAAACTGTTAACAAACTTTCAGACTATTTTATTATTATTTTCATGATGGGAATGATTAGAGCGTGCTTTTCTTTTTGCTTCTAATGATAAAGTTTATATGACGAAATAACAATTTTAGATTATTGTACCAAGAGTTTAATCATGTGAGTTACTATTCACTTCTTTTAGTTACTATAAAGCGGTTGAGAAAGAAAGCGAAAAATTATTTTACTTTCCGATCGACCTGATCAGTATTTAAATTGTTATTTTTTAAATGTGAGTTTAGAATTTATATTAAAGTTAATAATTAGATAAAAATGTCATACACATTTCATTTAGGATAAATCACGATATTATTTTTCTTTTCCCTGAATGGGTATTGATAGCGCATTTGTTGCAACAAGTGGCTGTTAAATAAATTATTGAATACTGTCTCCAATCACATTTCTTACTATTTAAAAGTGTGACGAAATATTTCTGACTTAAATAATGATTTCATTTCTTATAGTTCAGTCAAAATATTTATAATAATTAATAACATAGTTATAGGAATAGTTGGTCAGTGGTGGCCCAGTGGTTTAAGGGCCCGCTTCTCGTTGCCGAGGGCGCGGGTTCGTTCCTGCCCCGGGCAAGTACCAATGTGATTTTTCCGAATCATATGTACTTTCTAAGAATATTTAGACATCACTGATTAATGTTGATTCCCAAAAGAGGGTTGATGTCAGGCAGGCGGCCGGTCGTAAAAACAAATAGCCAAAACCATTCACAACATGTAAGGCAGACCCTGGCTATAGCTGCAAAAATTGCCAGGTAGAAGAAGATAGTTATAGGAATAGTTGGAAAGATAATTTTACACGAAATTAACTATTGTAATGTTGTTATTTGCAGGGCAAATATTTTACCATATTATGTTGATGTGAAAATGGCAGAATAACGAAGTTAAGAATTTAAAACAATGAAGACTAAATTTATACTCTTTGATTTAAGAGTGCATCAGAAACAAGTTAAAAATCCAGCACAAAATTTATTTTAAGTCTGCCATAATTTATGTAGCACTGTCCTTCGCTGCTCCTTAAAACGCCTTATTCATCAACCGTCTGCATCGATAAAAGTTAAAGTAGAAATAATGAAAGTTTTTAATGAAATAATACATCATATATGTTTAATTTAAAAGCTGACGCAGAATTAACTAATATTGGTATAATAACAATTATGTTGCTTAATGACATCTAAGACTTTCGCGAGTATTCATTTAAATGAAATTAATATTATTCGGATTACTTCTCGTTTTTTATTATTCTATATCTACATACTCCCGATGTTCCGGTTACTTTGCAGCAACCGTGATCAAGTGCAGATGAGATGTCAATGTGAATTATATTTAATCAACATAATTCTTAACTTAATAGCTTGGTGAATTCAAAAAGGTTTGCTATTTCCATATTAATTGATACCTATACCCTTTACTACTATTACTACTTATTGATCTACTATACCCTTTATAGACAACTGATCAAGTGTTTATTTATTATAAAGTAGCGGGTTTATCATGTCCATGGATATTCTACTATTATTAATAAATGTAAACAATGAAATTTTTGTCCATTTGAGGATTACTTTATGTAAAACGTTAAAGTAACTTGTTCGTTTAAGCAATAAGATACCAAATATGATTGAAATGGAAAAGGTAAAGTTAAAAATAATCCAAAAAAAATGTACTTACATATTTAAAAAATACTTGACTTGAAATTACTAAACGCAAAAAAATACTCTATGATGATAAGAATGAAAAAGAAGTTGATTAGATATACAAGTTGAATAATGTTATAAAAATATCGGATTTATTACAAATTCGTTGTTTTTAAAGAGAGCCTCGCTGACGTTACTAAATGTCACTTCTTCTAAAGCTCCATGATATTTTAAAATAAAACTTCAATTGTTCTTAATATTCCTGTATTTCTTGAAGGTTCTTCATAATCACATACTTCATTGATACGCATTCATTGAACTCTTAATTCTGCCGTCGTGCGTCCAGACGTCATATTTGTACCAAGATTTAAACATAGTTATTGTCCTTTTAAACAATCTTTGATTTCGTTTTACTTTTAACAATAATCATAAATACTAATAAGTTTTAATAAGAATAGATGACAGCCTCAAATTTCTTTCATTTCGCATCCGTTATTAAAGCTGATAGCGCCGATATATATAATGATAGATTAATAGACTTGTTAGGTAATAGATTAATAGAAAGCTAGGTGTTTCGGTTTACATTAATCAGTATTCAAACAGCCTTTGTCTACTAATTAATATCAATAATTTTTAAATAATCTCTTTCTCAACATTTTACTGTTACAAATAAAGCTTGTTCATTTGCTCATTATTGAGATAATTCGAAAGTATGAAACTTGCATATTTTTTTTAAATCTTTTTGTGTTTTGTTTGCAGTCATTTAGAACGTTTTGTTACATTATGTTCATACCTATTAGATATTTTCAATACTATTTAATTCCAAATTTTCAAAAATTTAATTTTTAATATTTTATTCCACCAAATAACAACTTAATTTAATTTTATAAATTATATACGGATCAAAGCAGACATACAAATTGGGAATTAACTTTTAACTGGATCGTCAATTAACGGTATAAAATTATATGAAACAAAGGTTTTTAAACAACTTTATCTTAAGATAGGCGCAATAGTTTTGTAATAACTTTTCGATAAATATATTTTTGATTATTCTGATTATTTTTAGAAGAAAATTAACCTTTTCAAATATTAAAATAAAATTAAAAATATACAAATGTTAATTTCGATTAATTTTCTTTCATGTTTTAACCTTTTTATTTTATGTTTTAATTTTTACATTTCCTAGTGTATTTGGATATTTTTTTATCCTTGGTGAAATTGTATAAGTGGATTTAAATGAAGATCTACTCTATTACGTTTTTTTTAAATATTCTTTTCACTTTTATCGTCTCTCAGGAAGCAGCGCCAGTCGATCAGCTGCTCCAACGCCACCTACCGCGCGGCAATGCTCCTCGATCTCCTGGAAATAATTAGTATTAAATAGTGAGATTAATGAACCAGAATTACCTGTGGTTATACATATCAGAACATATTTATCTCATGAGATATACTTTCACGGGTAGTCATTGAAATGTTACTAATATTTTTTGTTTTTACTATAATCTACTCGTGATGCACGTGAAATATCGATAGTACGTTATAATAAAATAACTATAAACACTTAGTAAAGTAAATACAAGAAATATTACTTTTCTTCCCAAAGAGGGTTGATGTCAGGCAGGCGGCCGGTCATAAAAACAGTTAGCCTACACTATTCACATCATGGAAGGCAGAAGAAGGTACTATTGCTAACATGTCTTTCATATTATAATATTGTTCCAGTGTGTACTAACCGCTGAGCTGGGACGTTCCTCATCCAGTAACCTCTGCCCCCTGGCCAGTACGTCCTGGAAACAGTCGTCGCGCGCCTCTTTCTCCGCCCTCAGCTGCTGCTGAGCCTGCGGCAGCTGGGGACGACATCTCGCTGCGGAGGGATGACGACCACGAGATGACGTCACGGAGCTGGGGAACGATATTCATGATATACAGGGTGACTGGTGAATTACTATCGATACTTGAGGACGTGATATTTGACAATCATATATGACAAAATAAAAATATTAATAAACTTCTAAGTAAAGTTAACCAAAAGTTGTGTAATTAATTAAGCATCGTGTGAACACCCTACAGATTAGGTATACACACACACACGCGCGCGTGCGAAGGCGTGGTGTTGTATCAGCACGCCGCCGCACACGTCCACACTTGGAACACTTGGAACGTGTCAACACTTTATTTATTTATACGGAAATTTGGTCATTTCCGTACTCCTCCGAAACGGCTTGACCGATTCTCATGAAATTTTGTAAGCATATTGAGTAGGTCTGAGGCTCTGAGAATCGGCCAATACCTATTTTTCATAACCTAAGTAATAGGGGCTAAATTTTGTTTTGATTTGGACGAAAGGTTTTGTTTTTATTTTTTTATCAAGTGTCATAAGAAAATACATAAAATCCTAAATATTTTTTTTATCACCAACCCCTACTTTTGATATGACAAAACAACGTTTGCGGGGCAGATAGTATATATTAAATAATAAATAATCAAAACCAAGACAACCATTAAATTAGTGCTTAATATAGAAAAATATCTCTTAATTAAACGTTATTTCATTTAATATTTGTTACAAGTGCGATGTCGAACTGTGTATTCATAAATGTTTTTGTTATAAGTGTAATTCTCATATAAGTGATAATAATGTCTTAATGGAAATAAAATATCATAAAGGATACATTATTTATAGGCGTAAAATCGTTAAAAATTAATTAGTATATAAAGAAAATATATATAAATTAGATAGATTAATCAAATGTAGCAATATATTAAAACACTATCAGATCATAAAGGTTTTGTATAATAGTGAAATCCCACAGTAATACCTCGGATAGGAAGGTGTGTAATTCAAGGTGTTGGAGCAGCAGTTTCCTCCTAAGATCTGCAGCTCCTCGCAGTGACCGCCACGCCTCACTGAGCGCCTGCTGTCTCAGCGCTATCTGCTGGGAGTTACCGCCGGGGCATAACCGCTGGAGGCGAGATCCTTCCCCTGGAGCACCTGGAAATAGATTTAATATCACTACAACTATCTCTTCTACCTGGCAACTTCCCAGCTTTAGCCAGGGTCTACCTTACATGTTGTGAATAGTTTTGGCTAATTGTTTTTACGACCGACCGCCTGCCTGACATCAACCCTCATTGGGAATGCATTAATCAGTGATGTCTAAATATTCTTAGAAAGTACATATGACTCGGAAAAATCACATTGGTACTTGCCCGGGCCAGGATATATATTACTACAACTATAAAATACTGCAAAAATCTGTTAAAATCTTATTTAGGCAGAATTAGGCTACATTAAGTGAGGAGCTATGATATTATGAAATAGATTTTGACAAGTATTCATTTAAATGAAACTAATATTTATCATATCGTCTGCCCGTGATCATGATACGACGTTCATCCAAAAATATTAGTTAGTTCGTTCATCCAAAAAATATTAGTTTCATTTAAATGAATACTCGCGAAAATCTTAGATTTCATTATAAGTCAATCTTAATAGTTACTCTGTGTCTATTAGTTTGCATTTCTTATCACTGTTTTGTACACAATTGTTGTTGCTTTGAGGGTGTATATTTTAAATTTCATGTTTAAAGCAAACTTTATTGTAAGAATATGCTACGTAGTGATACATTTATTATGATTGTCGAAGTTTTAATTTAAAATACATAATATGTTTATCGTCATAATTTTCTCAAGTAAGGGAAATGTAATTTCTTTTTGAGAAAAATAAAGTATGTTTAACCATAATAATTGTTTTGTAGTACCTGCATCTGCGCGTCTATAGCGACCATATCGTTCTCGCCTGGGTCGTGGTCCCTCAAGAGGGCGGTGGTCGCGCTCCCCGGCCCGCGCCAGCAGGTCCCCGGCGTAGCGGTGGAAGCGGTGGATCTCGCCAGCAGCAACCAGGCGCTGGCTGCGGGACTGGATCTGTTCTACCAGACGCTGCCAGGACTCGCTGGAATGTATGAATTGTATGTATTTGAGTTGTGGATTATGTAAATTAGATCTTATATGTATAGAATTAAGTCTCACTCTGCCTTGTTTTAAATGACATGTGGATTTTTTGAATTAGATTCTATGTGTATGTAATTAAGTCTCATTTTTCTTTGTCTAAATTAAATTCTATATCTAGTCATTAAGTCTCATTTTAACTTGTACAAATTTATTTGCATTTGTGGAATGTCTTATTTAGATTCTATATCTGTATGTATGGTTAAAACTAATTTTGTTTGGTATAAGTTTATGTGGACATATTGGATATCTGAATAAGATCCTATATGTTATGTAATTAAGGGTCATTTTCCAAGTTCCCCTCACCCGAGCACTTCCTGTCTCTTTTCAATGTCAGCGATGTATGGGCTGTCTGAGGCGACCAGCTTCTTGGCCAGCTCCTCACACTGGTTGAACCTCTCCGCCCCACTCTCTACACGGTGACGGAGCTCTTCGAACTTGGACCTAAGGATCTGTGGTTGGGGAAATATGATGTCTTAGATTATAGAAATAATTAAATGATTTTGGAGGATATTTTAATGAAGCTGTAAACATTTAGGTATATTTAATATTATGACATGCTAATCTTTGCACATCCTTGTGAGATACAAGAATTAAAAAAAACACTAAATTACGTACTAAATGCTCAAATTGACTTAAATTTCAACAAAATTTAGCATTCATTCGTTAGTTTCTAAAAATAGGATTGCTGAACGGATTTCCGTGAAGTTTCAAAGCTTAGTATTTGAAGATATAACTGAATAATGTCTCCATCACCAAGTGTGATGGCTGGAGCACCCTCTCATCATCATCATCATCATCATCTACATATCGTTACTCACCAGTAAGTGTTCATAGTACTGTCCGTAGTCTTCACTGGAGGCGGCTGCTTGCTGCTCCGCAACCCATTCCTCCAGCTCAGCGCTCTCAGCCAGATATTCATGTCTAAGGATAGACACACATATTTTTAGAGAATATCCTATTTATATATTTCTATAACACACATATACTAGTCTTTGTCAGCAACTTCTTCATAATCAACTTCAGGAATAGAAAGGGGTTACTGTGTAACGCTTAAGAAGCAGTAAATAACAAGTCTTTGTTAAGTTGTTATTTATTTAAATTTCTACCTCGCTTAATGGAAAGTATGCTACGTCAGTCTCCTGTTTCTAAAGTACCTCGAAATAAATTTACAGCCCTTTTTGACTATATGTAGTGCGACGAATATGATATATATATATATATATATATATATATATATATATATATATATATATATATATATATATATATATATATATATATATATATATAGTATCTCTCACCTGCACACACTCTCCATGAGCGCGGAATGCCTGCTCGCTGCCAGTCTCTGCAGCCTAGCCAGACTGCCAGCCAGCTGGTCATGTCTGGTGACCAGCGCGGCACCCTCAGGATGACCACCGGAAGCCATGGATTGCGCCACGTGACCCATTTCCGCTATGATCGCCGCGTATGTGTCCAACTCGAGTTCTACGGCCTGTTGGTAGGTTAAAGAGGAATTGTAAGATAATGCTGAATATACTCTGTATTATTATATTTCTGTTAATTGAAAGTGTTAGAAATTTAAATAATGACAACTTCTTCTGATTTAAGTCCATATATATATATGTTAGATGCCATACTCCTGCCAAACGGCTTAACCGATTTTTATGAAACTTTATATGCATATTCAATAATTTTAACAATTGGCTACTATCTATATTTCATCCCCCTGAGTATAAGGGCGGCCCACTTTTAACACCTTATTTAATTTTTTTGGACAACTTTTTCATAATGTGGCATTATAAAATACATACAACCCTAAATTACCACTCTTCTGTCACCAACCCCTATTTTTAATATGTTTTATAAATATTTGATCCTACTCAATAACTGATAAATTTTCACTTCATAAGTCACTTGATGACTTACATATATATAGTGATTTATCATACATTTCTTGTAACTCAAAAATTGTGTCATATGACGAAAATCTAATTCTTAACTATGTATATATATATATTACCTTATGCCGTGTGAGTAGTTGCGTCGCTCTATGCCTATCATTGCCGACGTCACCGGAAGCCAGTGTGGCGGCCTTGTCTACTTTCGCTGCATCATACAGGAACTGCTGGGCCCTGACCGCCGCCTCCTGCCGGGCCGCGCGCTCCTCCGCCGCTGATGACACAGAGGAGTACGCCTCTTCAAGCTCCTGGCACAGCTGCTTGATCTGGAATGTGATCGTTATAGTTTAGTGAGTGGAGTAGGGAAATAAATTATATGTATATGCATAAATTTTTCTTCTCCTTCCTGGCAATTTCCCAGTTTTAGCCAGGGTCTGCCTAAGATGTGTGAATAGTTTTGCCTAATTGTTTTTACGACCGGACTCCTGCCTGACATCAAACCTCTTTTGGAATGCATTAATCAGTGATGTCTAAATACTCTTATAAAGTACATATGACTCGGAAAAATCACATTGGTACTTGCCAGGACCGAACCCGCGCCATCTTGCATGAGAGGCGGGACTTTTAACCACTAGGCCACAACTGACTGAGGAAATGATTTATATGTACATATATACATAAATTAATATAATACAAATTGGTGTTTCAGTTAATGTCGCGTTTACACTGTTTACTTCGCTGTAAGCAACAGTACTATGCACATGTGCTTGGAATCTAATCTCAATCTCTCTCCTACTTTCTACATTTGTATATCTTTTTATCCCTACGTTGAACCTTTAACGCAACCTTGTTTGTAGTCGCATAAGAAGTTTCACTTCAAGAATTCACTCAGAAAATATAAAAAAAATCAATTATTAGCCGAACTTTGTCCAAGAATAATTTAATTATGCATGCTGTATATAATATTTCAGATGAACCAAGGTATGGTGTGGAGATCCAGAATTAATTTAACTATGATACTATGACGTTGGTAGGATGGAGGTTTTTTACTATGCGTCAGTTCTGCACTATCGAACGGACGCGTGTTTCTCTCTTAGAAATAAATACCTACATATAATCACTACAAATACAATGGGACATATAACTATATAACATTACTATGTAATACATGAGAATGTGAGTTATATATATATACATATATATAGTCCACCTTCCCAGCCTGTGGATGCGTGTCCAGCTCCTTGCCCCGTTGGAGCACCCCCTCCACGACAGGCCTCCGCCCCTCGAGCTCCGCCCTCAGCTTGGCGTGTTTCTTCTGCGCGTGGCACATGAAGCGGGGGCGTGGCGCTCCGACACCCAAGCTAGCTCTCCTGAAACCTCGGCAGCGAGCTTGTGTGGTCTGTGGAGGATTTGGATGAATAAAATTAGTCCTCAAATTGATTATGTACTATTACTATCCTACTAATATTATAATTGCGAAAGCTTGTGAGTGTGTATGTATTTATTTATTTATTTAGGCCCACAAACAGAATATAAGCCGGATTACATATGAGTTACAGTCTAAAATTATTTTTAGCTTGATTATATTCTTACGTATGTGTATACGGCATAATCATTACAAAAACAATATTTTTGTCGGGTGCTACATTATTTAGGTACAATTTAAGACTATTGAATAAACAGGAAAATGTATGTTTGTTACTTCTTTACGCTCAAACGGCTGAACCGATTTTGATAAAATTTTGTGTACAAATTATAAATTAATTATAATATTAAATATTTTAGTAAAACCGCGGGGCGCAGCTAATATGGTATAAATTATGTATAAAACAGTTGCTTTTCTTGTCCCTATATCCGTATGCATTCTTAATAACTTAAAACTACGCAGTGGATTTTGGTGCAGTTTTTTTTGAAAGATAGATTGTTTGAAGAGGAAGGTTTGTATGTATAATGATATCCACAAATAAGTGGAGAATCCTTATCCAGTTAAATAACTTTAATACATTTTTGATTTAAAATAGATCTATGGCCCTTTACAGTAAATATTTTAATCTTTATACCCGTCCCGGCTCAATTGTATATATGTATTACATACATATAAATTGTTCCGTCAACCGTTATAGAGCAAGAGCCAGGGCCAGCCAGGCATGCGTTGATTTACAAAAGCTGAAAGTTTTTCCATAGATGTACCCAATACAGGTAGTCACGATCCCCACCTATGAAATTTGGGTCGCGGTGGCTTTGGCAGGTAACACGTTCTAAAGGTTTATAAAATTTTCTTTCACTTTCCTCTTAGTACAAAATTCAGTTTTGATATATTTTTATCGTAATAATATTAGAAATCACGCTGTAAATTACCCGGCACTTAGTAAGGTGGGAAACCCAGCCAGGCACCCCTAAATTATAAGTAATTTTATTTGTACTTTCGTTATAGTACATATATACGCTGATTTTTATGTATGTTACTGAGGAAAGTATTAAATTATATTTACTCAGTAGCCAGGCAGTTTCGATGGTGCTTATACCTGGCCAGGCACACTGAAAGTCTTCCGTAAGTGCGAGAGCGAGGAACATATATCTGAGCGAGTGTGAGTGAGTTAGATCTCTCGGTCTATTGCGAGCTTCTACTGCGCATCGGCTGTCATTTAGCAATGTCTTTTGTGTGAACTATTTTCTAATTTAACAAATTAATCGTTACATAAAATTATTGAAGAAAAAAGTATTAATTTTAGACAAATTATGCAGAAAAAATTTCTTTTCAATAAGTTATTACATCAAAAATCAAACAGTTTAATTAAAACTGTTTTGAAAAATTCTACATTTCAATGTTTATTCAAATTAGAATTACAATATGAAAAAAAAATATATATTATGGGAGGGCATAAGTAATTTGTCAATAAGAAATTTAACGAAAAAGATATTTTTATTGTGCTTATTATTACTTTTATTTTCTAATATCTAGTATATAATATAATCAGCAACGAATTATATTTAGAACCATCTTTTCACTCAATGACTGATCTATATAACACATAAAAAAAGTATTGTTCAGAAACCGAAAAGTCTACCGTCTGTACGTTTACATTTGAAAAAGCATTTAACGAGAAAAATTTGTCCTAAGTAACTAAATTTGTCTTCTAAGTAACTAAATACCTATAAAATGTAAACATGAACATATCTATCTATTCGTAACTTCATCGAGGATATGTTCCTTCCTCTCGCACTTACGGAAGACTTTCAGTGTGCCTGGCCAGGTAAAAGCACCATCGAAACTGCCTGGCTACTGAGTAAATATAATTTAATACTTTCCTCAGTAACATACATAAAAATCAGCTTATATATGTACTACAACGAAAGTACAAATAAAATTACTTATAATTTAGGGGTGCCTGGCTGGGTTTCCCACCTTACTAAGTGCCGGGCCATTTACAGCGTGATTTCTAATATTATTATCATGAAAATATATCAAAACTGAATTTTGTACTAAGAGGAAAGTGAAAGAAAATTATATACACCTTTAGAACGTGTTACCTGCCAAAGCCACCGCGACCCAAATTTCATAGGTGGGGATCGTGACTACCTGTATTGGGTACATCTATAGAAAAACTTTCAGCTTTTGTAAATTAACGAATGCCTGGCTGGCCCTGGCTCTTGGACTATTAATCATTTCTTATATAATATTGTATTGAATCACATTTTGTTTTAGTTATATCGTATACTGACTGTAGACTAGTTTCCAGCGCCTGTCTCCTCTCGGCCGCTCGAGGGCGGAGCGCCCGGGCGGTCTGCAGCAGCGCAGCGGAGTCTCTCTCAATGGCCGAGCCGTCGAAGTGATCACTGGAGACCAGGTCAGAGCCCTGGGCTGCAAGGGACCCCGCTCGTTGTTCGCATTGACTCAACTCTTGTTCCAGAGCCTGTAGACATTTATGTTACTATTGAATATTATATAAATATGGATATATTATGTTCTAGTAAATACAACAAGGACGAAATCGCATTTTTCTGTAAACAATAATTGTTTTTATCAATACACATTTCTAAACAATATAATTCTACTTGTTTTACTTTAAAACAAATTGTTTTCTCGCCTGAGGAGCCCTTAGTTTAAATCTAGTTATTAAAGCACCAGCAAGTAGCTCTTTACACTTTGATTTTATAAAAATAATCTTAGCAAAAAAAGAAATTACCATTACCACAAATTATATCAGTTAGCTGGCATAACTACGACAGATAATACTTTGAAAAGCAATGCTATATATATGTATTTATATAGTATATCTAGTAGGTATGTATGGATATATGTTGGTCTTACAAGTAAATTATCCTTACTGATTTTGATAAAACTCTTTTATAAAGCAATTTAGACCTCACAATGACATCCATTATATTAGATACACATTAATCACCATCTGAGTAATTCCTAATACACGCATGAAGTCGCAGTAAACCGCTAGTATGTGATGTACCCACCTGGTGTAGTAGCAGCAGTCTCTTGCAGGATCTCAAGTCTGAACCCAGCTTGGTGCTG